AGGATTCGTCATTTCATCACGCCACCTCTTAAACAAACAGGTTTTCCAGTTCGAGATTGACTGAAGTGGCTCCAAAGTTAGAGATGTGACGTGTGTTTACGCACGTTGGTGTACGAGTATGTATGACCCGACTCTGCACAGACCATGGAAGTAGGAAAGCATGCACAGATCAAGTTTATAGGGTGAGGATTTTTGGGGGACACTATTGCAAATTTTAACTTTGTGTGTGATGTGACCCAATAAAGAAATGAAAGAAAAGACAAAAGTCTGTAAAAGTGACCTTTAATATCAAGTAAGATTCAACTTGATCAAAAAGACAACAAAAGAACAAAAACGAAAATGAAACACAAAATAAAACACTGGAGGGACTTGGTAATACTGTAAGATATTGGCCAATGCTCTTCTTAAATGGTGAGTGAAGTAAATACATGTACTTTCGATTGCCTTAGAAAGCACCTGGTTTCAACTGCCGAAGGTTCAAAGAACAGGAAAATTCCCATCTGGACAAGTTCTGACTATACTGAACAAAGATCAGCACCCTAGGGCCTGCAATATGGCCACCCTAGGTACCAGGCACCAGGATTAACATCACGGAAAACAGATAAGGAAAAAGTACTTCAGAAACAAATGCAGGGAGTGTGAGGGGCTTTCCTGGGTGATTATATCGCACATTCAAGGACTATCCAGGGTGCTAGACAATGCCAAAATGCTTTCCTGGGATTTCCAGGATGTGTTTATAAACCCTGGCGCTCTTTACTTTCACTTTCAAAAGAATATTGGAATGGGAAAAATGGGCTATCAAAACAGCCAATGAGCCTAATTTTTCCTGTATTTGGAACTGTAAAGAAGTTTTATTACATTTGTACTAAGTAACATGCATCCATGTATGCATCATGGACAAACACAAACTTATACGGCACTTTGTGTACATGTATGTCATGTATATGAAAACTGCCTGTGTACATGTGTACATGTACATGCTAGTAGTTTGGTACATGTGTACACATAGTTCGTGTACTTGTGCAGTGCACAGTACTGTACACGTATGTACATGTACATGTACATGTACATAACGGTAGCATCGCATGTACAATGTACAACCATGGAGGATGGCCACGTACATGCCTGCATATGTACATGTACATTACATGTATGGTACAGCTGCTTTGTGCCACAGCTGCACAGAGATTTTGCCTAATATGGCCAAAAAAAAGGACATCCTCAGAAAGAGACCTTAAGAAACCCGGAGAACACAGTCGAGGGTTGCTGGGATGCAAGGCTCAGCGCCAGTCCTTTCCCCTTGTGCATTGCGGCGGGCAGGCTGACCTGTCAGATCTCCTCAGTCACCAATTAGGAATCAATTTAAGGAAAATGTTGCTACCAGGGAAGGGAATGAACTTAACCTGCAGAGTGCAACATTTGAAGACACAGGTCCTGCACAGAATGGTACATGTACAAGCCAAAGTTCACTTGGCAATTTTTTTTTCTGACTGGATATTAAACGTGTATGGTGCATGGCTGTTGGAACTCATACATGCATACCCAGAGTGCCAATAGCACTCAAGGCACGACTTTGTCTCATTTCTCCTTAAGTGAAATCTGAGTAAACATGACGTGAATTACTCTCATAAAAATGTGGGAATGACATGAATTACATGTAGCCCAATCACCAAATTATCTGAATATCTCTGTGTCATTGGGGTTCATTTATGGACAGCTGTATGAAAAATCATACAACTGTCAGAAAAATAAAAAACTTCAAAAAGCAATTACAACAAATACATCATATGTATGCACATCCCTTTCAAGCTTGCAGTTTTCTTGAAAATGGGCAATTCCAGTTCTACCATTCTGAAGACCATGTGAAGACCAATGCAGTGTAGTCAACTTTGCAGGCACGGTTGACAGTTCTAATTCCCGTAAGATTTTGAATTTCCTGGTGTAAAATGGCACTGCCAAAGTGTTGACAGAAGGCACAGGCACAAAAGAGCTCGTGATCTGCACGTTTGGTCTCACACGGGGTCAAGTCTCAGTTGAGTCTAACAGTCAAAAGTGTTTACAGCTCAAGTTAGCTACATGTTTTCCAAAATTTCCCCGAATCCTCGACACTAAACAATGCGTGCACATCATAGAAGAAAAATGACCCGGCATGGGAGAGGAGAGCCTTTGTCCCAAGTGTGCTCTACAATCCACGGGCAAATGTTAAAGTACATTCATGTACATAATTGATAAAAGCTGTAACAAAGAAAACGTGAGCACTGCAAAAACAGCTCAAATGAAATGTTCAGCCTTTAGGTTTCTCTTGTTGACAGACCACATCCATTTCCAGCAAACAGTTCCAGCAAACTTCTGGTGGAGGCACTTTTGGAAAGCTGGCTGCCAGCTTTGAAATCACTCTGCTCCACCTCGATCAATCCGCCAAAAAAAGTATAGTAGACAGACAACTTATGAAATTAGTGGCAACACCTTCAGGGATGAGATTGACCAATGATAAAAGTAGCTGAAAACAGCCAAAAAAAAAAGGCATAAAGAAGCTGAACTGTGAAAATTCCTCTACTTTTGTATACAGCCAGTGAGGAAAAAAATTGAAATCCAAAACAAAAAAAAGCTGAAATCAGCTAAAAAGTTGAGAAATCTCATCCCTGCATCTTGTACATGTATGCACAGAAAACGGTGTGAATCAGGAGGGAAAATTTTGCAGAAAGACTTCCCTTTCAGTCACATTTCACAAAGCAAGAAAATAAATTTCCACTTGTGTGAAGAGGCATGAAAATGTTTTCCCACTTGTGGCAGAATTTGTGCAAATCTCTGCCCGCTTGTGTGAAAAGACGTCAAAATGTTTTCGCTATCCCACTTGCGAGAAAATCTGTGAAAATCTCGTCCCACTCTTATGAAAAGATGTGAAATTGTTTTCCCATTCGAGTGAAAATCTATAAATAATCTTGCCTGACTTGTAGGAAACTCTGGCAAATGTATTCTCACTCTCGGGAAAATTGGTGAAAATCTTTTCAAACTTTGGGAACAGCTTTTCACACCTTGTTAAATAAAAGTGATTTCGCTGGGAAGAGGAAAAGTGTCAAGAGAATGCCCAATACCCATATTAACTTTCAATTGCAAAGTACTGTACTGTGCGAAGTTTTGTTAAAGCAGAACCATGCATGTGGACAACCTTCTGAAAATCACTTTTGGAAAGCTGCCAGCCTCGACAAAATCACTGAGTCCATCGACCTGCCGAAATACAGTCTAGTAGACTGGGAAACTCGTGAACTTGGAGCCAATCTGGAAGGTGTGGGGGGGTAGCAAAATGTGTGAACACAAAGCCGTTTGTGTGAGTCCTCCCGCATCTGCATTGCACCTGTTTCTGCTATTGTGAGCCTTTCAAATAATACATTCAAAGTTGATGTTGTCACACCGATCTCTGCAAAAACATCAGGTACATGTACGTGTATACATGTACACATGCAGAACCTTTTGCAGATCCAACAATACAGGTACACTTGCAGGTACATGTACATGTATGCATGTGTGCATGTATAAAGCTCTGAAGGAATTTCCCACAAGTAAGGGATCGAAACAGGATGGGCGGGGGTCTTTCGAGCTGAAATGTGGAGATGTTTATGATCAGCAGAGCAACTTGAGGACAATAAGTGACAATGATTATGTGTAATGCAGTAACTTGGGGGGGAAGTCTATCGCCTGGAATTACACATACCGTGCATCCTCCCGCAAAGTATAAACCACCACCACTTCCTCACCCTGGCCCAGATTGCCAGACAATTTTAGGGGCCCCCCGCATTAACATACAAAGCCCAGCAGGCCTTCCTGATAAGGTTCTTGCAAGAATACCTGTACCGCCACACGTGACTCCTTGTTTGCAAGCTCTGTTAAAGTTCACTTGAGTTTGTCTTGGTGTAACCGAGCCGATAGGGGTTATCCGGGTTAAGGAAACAGCTAGCAATTGCTGGGGGAGGTGGGGAGGTGACAGTTCAGTATTTCCAATAGCAAGATGCTCATTGTGAATACCTAGGCCTTTTGTGCCAAATTCCAGCAACAGCTACTTGTATGGATCTTTTGGTTGGTTTTAATCGCTGCTTCTGGAAACGAAGACTTTCTGCCCGCTATTTCCTGGATCTTAACAGAAGCAGAAGGATTGTATTACACTGCTGATGGCTGAAGTCCTATGTACGACTATAGTTGGGGGTCTCGGTTTCTTTTTCTAAATCACAAAGCAACCTGGATAAAAATGTCAGGAACTGGGATGCAGCAATGCACAATCCAAAAATTCCATTATACGTACAGGTATCACATCCCTGATGTAAAGTACGTGTACATCTTAAAATACCCGCAACTACATCTGATCAGACTGGCCAGCTGATCCCAGCAACCAGTGTTTCCCCTGGGGTACTGATATGCATGAGGTGGTCAATTTTTGCCAAACTTCCAGTTCCTTAAAAACAAAAGCGAGTGTTTTCAAAAAGGCCTAAAATAAATTCTACACTGTCTAATTGTATGCACTTACATGTACTTCACATTTCCCCAATAAAATAAATCAATCTTGTATTCTCTGTCCCTCTTGACCATTCTGAACGATTTAAAACTGATCTGTTTCAAAATAGCTACGTCCTTTTGTTGTTTCCTTCCGTCTTTGTCTGTTTTAAGTGTGAGGTGGTAAACTTCAACAGAAAAGCCTGAGGTGGTCACTCAGATCAGTGAGGTGGGCCACCTCACACTTGAATAGGCTGGGGAAACCCTGCCTGCAACCTCCTTAGTCAAGTGGTTAAGATGTCAGCACTAGTACGCAGGGGGGTCATGGGTTCTGAGTCCCACCTGATTAAGCTTGTGAATTTTTTTCACAAGCTCTCGGACAAACACTGAGTATACAGTGCAAGGGAATATACATGTACGCCGGTGTAAGGGCGAAGCCCATTACTTAAAGCGCTTTCCTGCAGCCCTGCATCCTGAAACGTCCCAATAACAAATGCCAGTGATATTAAACTCACCTGGGTTTCTTCTCAGGGGGCTCGGCCAACGTCAGCGGTGTGCTGGATATGGAGTGGACGGGTGCAGGGTTGAAGTACTGGTCCACCTCGGTGTGGGAGCCCTGCCGCTGCATGGCGGCCGGCTTGTCCTCCTGCACCACGTCGTCGGTGCTGGACTCGGCCACCGGCGGGAAGGGCAGCTCCTCATAGTTGTGGCTGTGCTGGGAGTAGGGGAGCTGGGACCTGCGGTTGAGGTCGTCCAAGCTGTAGGTGGGTGGGTTGTTGTAGTCCGGGGCTGGACGCATGGCCACACCTGCATGCATTCAATGCGAAGGAGAGAAGAGAAAGAGTACATGAAGTACTAAAACAACTCCTCTGAATTTTGTTTAAAATTGAACCTGTGCAATTATACACACCAGGACTGGTACACTGTAAATGGTATGTGCACTTGTTCATGTAAATCTTAACATAGGTGCGGATCAAAGCTTTTGCAGGACCCAAACAACATGTACATTGCCTCTACCTATTTCTGGTAAGGATTTACTGCACAGAAAAACAATGGCAGATTCTACATGTACATGCATACATGTAAAGCTACAAAGGCAGGGCTGTCCGTCCACTTCTCTTCGGCAATAAAGTCCTTCAATGACCAATATCTCCGGGCTGATTTGGAAAGATATGATTCGAGGTCTCTGGGGTGGACGATTGAATAAAGCAACACAAAAAAGAATAGCATACCGTACCTCTGAAGTTGACAGCTGAGCTCAAACCTTTTCAGGTACACGTAAGAATGCCCATCAACTTGTTGAACGCATGTACATGTACATGTACATTTACCTCCTTACTTTATGACAGCTCATACAACAAATGCCTTATTTGCTCTGGCCTTTTATTGTACCTGAAAGCCACTTTATTACACAATAAAATGCCTAGAAGAGACAAAAGCATGCCACATGAACTGTCCGCAAAATATTTTTCGTTTCTATTCCAAACTGCAGTGAAATATGATTGGAATGGTCTAATTTTATCACTGGAGTGCAACTACATGTAAGTGCAACAGTAAGGGATAGGTTTGATCAAAAAAATTGATATCGACACAATATCAAACACAAAGGGGATCTGTACAGGTTGAACAGATCCATTATTAACCTGGGTGACACAAAAACCCCTTTTGAGTTTACGTGGTAAAGGCACTGGTTTCACTACACAAATCAAACTTAGTCATTCTACTGTTTACCAGTGGAATGACTCTTTTGTACCCTTATAAGGTCACACAAAATCGGGATATTACGTTCAGCCAGCGGGAAAACAGGAAACTCCTGCACTACACGGAATCAATACCCCAGGAATATACATGTACATGCACACAGGGTAAAAATGTCTTCCTTTTTTATGGGGGGGGGAGAGAGAGAGATAATTCGAGAAATTTTTGGGATTTGTTTTAAACTTTGCTATTTTCAAATACCATAGTTCCAGGCACAAATGAAAAGTTAACATGTTGCATTGTTAAAACAGTAACGTGTACATGTGATATGAGTATTTGGTGCTTTTCACACTGCATTTAACTCAGCACTAGTGATACGCGTACATATAGATAACAACTTGCGCAAAAAAAAAACTCTCTACTAGAATCTCAACTACTTCCATGCAAGAGAAAATTATAGATCTGGCACGGTCTGGTTCCCTACAACTTAAAAGTGAGGAGTGCAAGTTGTGCATGATGAAACACTGTGTTTCTTCAGGTCTTTGACAATGCAATCCCTGTACTGCCCCATGGTTTTGCAATGAAAAAATCATGAAATATCAACGAAATAATCACCAGAGGGTTTCAGAGCCCAACCGCAGCATGGGGTCTATGGTGTACCAGTGCATCTACATTTATGTTTGCCTGAAAGGCATTCCTAAAGGCTGGCTTATACTTCAGATCAAATATTCGCATTGCAAATCCGTAACAGTTGAACATGTATCAATTTGAGCCAAATTTCACCGCAAATTTGTCATGACGTCAATGTCACTTCACTTTTGCGTTCACCTGAAGTATGAAGCGGCCTTTGAAATACCCATTTCTTGTGTCCTACATGCATGTCAAATTCTATACATGTATATGTAAAAACACCGTAATGGTTAACCAGGATTTTCCAGACTTTGAAAGCGATTGTTTGAAAAAGTCCTCGAAATCTGGAAAATCCTGACCCAAAAAAATTCTGAAATCAGGATAAATCCCAACAAATCTCACCCCTGAAAAATGTAGAAAACTACAGCAGTCTTTTGATTTCTATACAATCCTTTCTTCCCCCAAAGTCATTATGTAGGAAACGTATAAGTACTCACAACACATCTCAACCAACTGATCCTTCTTAATTCTGAATGTGAACAGAGGCCATCAACTACCGCTACATGTACAAGACAGGTGCGCCCCAAAATTCATGTAATATGGACAGATAGGCTGGAATGGAAGAAGTAGAGTTTTCAGGAGGCAGAGAAAGTCAGTCCCGCCTGAATGCCGTTTTTTTGGCACCAATTTAAGAACACAAAAAACAGGGCAGAGCTTGAGATGACCCACCTCGGAAGTCAGGCCTGCATCTGCAAGCTGGGCAGAAACATTGTAACACACTCACAATGCATGCAATGCACTGGAGTCATGCCTAGAAATCTTCACTGATGATTCATCGATTTAAACTGGTAAACAGCGTCTCTTCTGTGTCATGCACTAAGAAGCTCCAGGGGATAATTCATTTGGGAAAAATACAGTACTGGTATGGTACATACCCTGTACAAACTACCGTACATTCATGTTGACAACTGTGGAGCTTCATCACCTACATGTATGTACAGCACATGTAACAAACATTACATGTACACGCGTACATGTATGTGAATGCATGTGTCTTGAGTGAAAGGAAATCAACCACATCATGACCACCTGACAGCTGGCAAATCAAGTTCTTTAAGTACGACTAAGAGAAGATCTGATCTTCTTGGGGACTTCTGCATCAATTTCTTCCCAATAAATAAATTATACGAAAACAGAAAAGGTCATTGAACATGTGGGTCAACTGTTCCACGCAATAAATTCCTAGATTAACCTTTGCTTAAATTGACCCTCCCCAAATCAAGCGATTTGGCTGCTCATTGAAAGCGTCCGCAAAATAACACTCCAAAAGGGTTGACTGGGTTTAGTTGCAGAGGGATGCGATGCACCACATAGTAAAGTGGTTTTCAAACTGCTGACACTTTAATGACTCTATGACATTTCAGAAAAAAACCAGTGGCGAACACAGCTCTGTTAAGGCTGTCTGTGCACGCGCACGTGGGGCAAATGCATGGTGGCGTGATGTCAATAACCCAGCTCAGTTGCACACAGCGTGGAGATGGGGGGGAGGGAAGAGCGACCCCGAGGGCCCCCCTGTGATTGGCTGACTCAACCTGACTGTGTATCGTACCACATTTTTAGTCATCTGGGCATCATGCATTGACGGCGAGTGAGACATTTCATTTCATATTCTACTACTACCACTGCTGTGCGGGCAGCATCGTGCACTCGCTGTATGCACCGCTCTATTGCGGTGAGTGTGCCTGGATGACCAGGGCTTGGCTGTACAGCGAGGAGAGATAATTGAGCTCAAGCAGACTTTTATTTCTAATCACCGGAAGGACGAGCAATAGACTTGTGACAATTTGCCCATTTAGCACAATTCAATAAAACGCCTAGACTTATGGCAAGCTTTATCTGTTAATTAAATTAAAATCAGATGTTTGCGGAATATCACTGGAAACTACAGGTGGGGTGAACTTGGGCAGGCACAACGGCAACACCATTCTGGCTCCTTTGCCTATAGATGGACAAAGTTTACTTTGAGATGAGCAACATTGGTACATGTAGTGTAAAATTTGGCACCTACTCATTTAATGAATTGTCATAATCTTTGCAGTCCTACTTCTACCACACAATGTCTGATGCCAGAAAAGTAAACAGGGATTAAAAATCTGCTGGATAGGGAGTTGGGCCAGACCTACATGTACCATATTTCAACAACATGAAATGTTCCATAACACTGTACCGGTACATGTACTTGAGATCTGCCTTCTTACTTGGGATGTGGCTATGTTGTGTGCTGCTCATTTGAGGAAGTTGGTGACTGTTCATAAAATACTGGGTACATTCGGTCAACAAGTTGCTACTACATGTACATGTACATACATGTATGATGTATGTATATGTACATGTATGAAAACAAGTAACCTTGTGATGTTGAATGATGTTTCGTGAAATCAGGATGGTGATTTACACTGGTAGGTTAACCGTTGATCAGTGCTTTCACAAAAACAGATTGCCAGGTCCTAAGCTATTGGATACTTTTAGGACAGTGAAAAATGCTCGTTATTGCAATTAAGTTTGACTCAGTATAGACGATGTACAGGGTTTATCAAAAGTAGCCACACATGCAGACAAAAAGTCATATAAAAAATCCAGGGTACAGAGAATTCTAATGATGTATTTGCTCATCAAGGAATAACAGACATCTCAGCGCATCATTCAGATTATTGGAGTGCTTCCCATTCCTCAGGTTATTCAAATGTTGAGTGGGATCATGAATTATTTGTGGACATGTACCTACAGAATATACTGGTAGATTGGGAAGGGTTCTACTGGAAGGTTAATACATACACGGACATGATACCAACGTACATGTACTGTATTTGCAGTATATTACAACTGAAAGTTAACCTGTGACTCGGAGAATCTTTGCACACTTTTTCTCTTCCGAGGGAATTCATTTTCATTTATAACAAAATGTGAAGAAAAAAAAATTGAATTTTGAAAAACCTTTTTCCAAGTTTGAACATGTTCGCATTTTAACCAAGTCACCGAGACACAACATCTGGAACAGTAACAAGACAGTACCTTCAACTGTCATTACACTTAGAACACGGCAAGGAAGAAATGAAAAGCAAGTTCATGGAAAACTGGAAATGATGCCTTCTGGCAAGAAGTACCGTACTAGTACATGTACATGTACATGCAGCGCATAGCTGTGTGTTAACTACTGTGTGGAAGCGCTGTGATGTGAAGATTACTACACACTGACAGGAAAATCTACTCTTCACTATTCTCTTCCAGTTATCAGTCTGGGCTTTTCTGATTCATTCAGCATGGGATGTACACCCTTCAGACAAACTTTACTGATGGATTAATTAATGTTCTATCTCCTGTTATCAGTTGAACATGTTTGTTTACTCACATACCGGTATATACGCCTCTTCACAAACTACTGTACCTCTTCACAAACTAGTCTCTGGTTATGACATAGAGCAACTTTTTTTGCTCTACTGTGTACTCGTTATCAGTAATGTCCATGGAAGCCTCTTTGATGGAGAGGGCAGAGTCTGCTATTATAAATCTACAATGTACAGGTCTGTGCTGCAGTAACTTAACAACCTTGGGGCAGGCCTGCATGACACATTTTTGCATAACAAAGGGCCTGAATAAAGAAACACCAGGACTGCAAACCCTCAGGGTCAGTCTCAGGGGTGCCCAAGCATTGTGTAGCAAGTGTTTGTGTTGTGGAAGAACCCCGTGGAAGAGGACACTCCACATGTACCCCATACCTTCGAACTCATATGTACATGTACTTCAGTGCTGGTGCAGTGCGTGCACTGTACAGGATACTTTCTACAATGCCAGTGGCAATGGTGTACATGTTGTTATGCAATGCATTATACTGGTATTCTTGGAATCTAAGATTCACGAACTCATTACACATGCACATCAAGTAGTCGTACATTACACTGGGTTCATCCTGGCAACCAAAACCCATTCTAAGCAATAAACTGAAAAAAAAGTCCTTCAAATTCAAACATGACAATGTGAAACCCACATATTCACTGCACCGGTTACCTGTAAAATCTTTTCTGCCTATAACAAGGAGATCATGTACAATGTATTTTTTATATTCTGAATATTTAGCAACTGGCAGTTATCAATTACAATGTAGGTTTACACCAATTGAAAGTGCACTTGCACATGTACGAGTACATGCAGCCTATAAAGTGAACAATAAATGCTGTGCAGTGTACATTTGTTGAACAAGATTTATTTTGTTAAACTTGAAGGTAAGGCACATAGGAGCTGGCAAGTTAGTTTCAATTTAACACTGGTCATAGTAGAGTACAATGTAAACTTTACACCATGTAAACTTTACGCCAAGAGTTTTCCTATAAGGCTAATCTTTCGCCTGACGTAAGTGTATAATGTACATGTACATGTAGGTACATGTACATGCACTCCTACTTGAGACTTTGAAACCCAGAGTGTGACATGATTAGAAATGTGACAAAAGTAAACATCTTAACAGGTTATGACTTTGGATAATTACCAGGGTACATATATGGGTATGTACCCATAGGGGGGCCTACTAACTGATACTTTAGAAGAACACAATGGGGTTCTTATAGACTCAGGGGATGGCTTCTCTGACTGTGAGTAAAATTTTCCATGACATTCCATCACACGACTGTACATGTACTCGTATCTGGCTTGCGGTTGAAGTCCCTTTCACTAAAAACTACTCAACTGTGGATTGGAGAGCTTAGTTCCTGGACATTGTTCAAACCAGTATTCACAACATAATAACAGGTGCCGGAGGATTGTTATGCAAAAGTAGTTTTTATTTTCAGAAATGTTATGGAACTTTTCTTCATTTTCTTCACACTCTTGTGCACAAAGCCCTCCATAGAAAATCAACCATTATTGATTGCTGGATTTCAATCAAAAGGTTTCAAGTCACGTACATGTACATGTAACTTGAGACACATTTTTGGAAGTTAATAGAATAAAAGTGTAATGAACCAATCTTAACATGCAGGTAAAAGTTACAAGTATCTATCTTATGGAGTGGCCAGAAAGGAATAAACAAGTGTGACATCAGGCCTATGTACTTGCACCCATGCCCTGTAGTCAGTTTATTTCAATTTAAATGAAAACTGCTCAACAAATCAAATGACTGTTGGAAATGTACAGTGTACATGTACCTGGATGGTTACATTTTTAATCCCAGAACAGCAAAAAACTGTACCAGTAAACTTTAACTTCAGAAAGATTTTTAGTCCATTACAAATGTACCTCCTGCTATTGGAAGATGCAGGGATGTCAGATATGCATATATGAGTATATATGGCACCGGAGTTTCACTTTATTTATGTCTCTCTTGAAAATCTTTCAGGGTTCCTTCGCTAAATTACACAACTTACAAAGAGTGGACACACTAAGCAACAAAAGGTACGGATTCAAGTGCAATGCAGTACACAGCAGCAGCTGCAGTTAAAGTACAGCTCAGAATCGGAAGTCATTACTTTCTACACACAAAAACAATTCCTTTATGTGGGGATACACACAGACTCCAAGGTCAAGAGGTGGATATATTTCAGTTACAAGCAGGGCCACCAGCTGGTTCTCCAAACCCACCACCAAGGGCAAAGGTTACACCCTTGGATATCAGCTTGCAGCAGGCTGGGATGTTTTCCGGGTTCTTGGAGAATGTGTAGGCCAAAACAACTTACAGTGGGCTGAATACCCAAGTTGGCACCAATGCTTGTTTGTAAATTGCTGAATGCATTTAGCCTTTACATTTGGCTCAGTGTGTATGAAGAGCACCTCAAAATTGTAATGATGTTGTACATGTACTTGCACATGTACTCCCACACATGTACAATGAATGAAAAGCAGAAAGTGCAAATGCCAAACCATCATGGAAGCTGAACTTGTAATCTCAGCATTAAGGATCATCTCTGATCTCGGGTGTTCCACACTGAGCATTTTTAAAACTTGTATGTATATGTACATCCACACGTGTATAATTCGGAAATTTGCTGTGAGTAAATCGGTGAAGTTTCGGTGTGATTCAACAGCCTCAACTACGGTGTATGTACATAACTCCCTCTTGATACTTGGTTGGTCTCTACCTTAACTGATACATGTACAAACAAGCACTTGACAACAAAAACCTCACGAAACGCTTCCTCCGGGTACTTGCCTTTCTGTACTTTGGCTCTACAGTTGACTGTGTGTATACATCTTCTCAATTTGTCCAGTTTCAGAAATTTTCAAGAATAGCCAAAACTATGTTTTTTGAATACAAACCTCCAACAGCCACCTTTTTGTCTCATTTCAACTTATTTCAACTTTTGTTTCACTGTTTAATAGGGTATGTTACCACCTCTTTGATTTTCACCCTAGTGAGTATTTCTATATCCATGAGCAAAACTATGATGTCATCTCAGGAAAAAGCCTCAATGTTACATTGGTCTGTACACAAAAAATATCCTTTTTTTGTAGACTTTCCTGGACTCGGTTTTCTCTTCTCCGCTCATTCATTGTTATTTATGTGCACAGCAATAAGAAACCATCGATCCCTCTCTCAGACGCATTTTCAGTTAGTAAATTCTGGCTGCACAATTTGAACAGAAATGCCTATGCACTGAACCATGTCCTCCCCAGATGACTTCACAGCAACAGTTCCCTCAGTTGTCCAAAAAAGCATGTATAATTTTAATTGTTCAAAAGCGTGCATTTAAAAGCATGCATTTACCCAAATAGGAAAGTAAAAGGGTTTTCATACACTGAAGAAGAATACAAGTTGAAGAAAACTGTGTCTAAGAAAACTTCATTGCAGCTGCACGTTCAGGTACTGCTGTTGCCATCCAACTCTAGAAATGCAAGTACATGTAGGCCCTACCTCATAACATCTAATGATCTACTTGTAATCATCCATGCATCACAAGGTTTGTTGAGTAACTGCTAGTCATTTCTTGAACACGTTCAAATGTTTGAAAAATCATGTGCATGTAATGGCACATACTGTGCTACATGCAGAAAGCAATACACTCCCCTTTCAAAAACATCTTGTTGACGGCTGGTGGGACAGTGGGTGGGGAGAAACAACTCGCCAAAATGTCTGCCGCGGAAGTAGTTACCAGTGCAATTATGGACTAGCCCATTAATATTTCCTTCAGTTTCTATTCAGAATCACAGTTGGCGAGGGCATACACATGTATACTATCTAGTCATTCACTACCAGGAAATGCAATGTGCATGTATGTGCACGACACACTGACCAGCCGGTTTTCAAATCGGCAGTTTCTTTGCTTCTCTTTGCTAATTTCCATCAGGCACAAACCACAATGACAAATTCTTCCGAGCTGAAAATTAAACTGTTACTGAGCTGGCAAAGGTGCCTTATGTTTTAGATTTCTTCCATGATCTGTCTTCCTGCACCGAGTTGAATGTGCCAAAACCACACACTGCAAAAACTTTTTCAAAGGAAAAAGGAGACAATTATAAGTTAAAAAAAACTGCAAGCAGCCCCCTCCCCTTCTTACCGTTTGACATAGGGGTCTCCATCTGGTGATTCACTCTGTGGGGCTGCATGCCGGGCGGGTCCTGGGGCAATCTGACAAAGCCTGCTGTGGGCCGCATTTCAATCGCCTCCAAGTTACCAGGAACGGGCTGCTGCAGGAGTTTGGGGTACTGCTGAGTGTAGTACTGCGGTGAGTGCGGCGGTTGGGCTTGCAGGACAGCTGGGTAGGACATACTGTGGTCACGTGACTCGTCTGGGGGAGCAGCTAACAACAGGATCAGCTACTGACTGGTAGTTTGTAGCTGGCTGCCGAGAAGTGGTGTTTCCTGTGTGGAATCACAGATAGAAAGATTTTACGGAAGTTGTCTTATCAATTACTAACTCTAATGTAATACACGCAGCCTCGGAAATCGGGTTATCCAGTACTGAATCTAAAAGTTATGTTTCATGTGTTGATTTTTAACACGAAGGAAAGTCCATTGATAAGATAGGTACATTTATTAAGTTAAATTGAGTTATTGATGACACATAACTGCACAGTGAACCATGTCTACATTACATTTTCCAGTTAACAGAGCCTTGAGCTAGAAACTTCAAAGAAGCAAAAGCTCCTTATATAGCCAATGAAAGAGAAAGTTTTTTCATACATGCTTGTACTTTTTGAGGTCTGACAAATTTTCACAACTTCCAAATGTTCTAGCATTTCATTTGAGACGTCTTCAAGAGATGGTAATAGGTTTGCAGTAGCACCGTACAAAATATCTCTATTGTGAGTGAGTGTGGTGGTTCTGATACTGAACTTTGTCCATGATAAGTGACAGATTAACGTAAGTCTGGAGGAACTTCCTCCTGCAATGTCCTTGACCATAACTCCCTAGGGTGTATATAAAATTATATTGAAATTGGAGGATCTGGGACTGTTAATGCGTATTAATATCTACATGTACTGGTATGTGTGTGTGTACCCGGTAGCACATAATGAAAGTAACATTTCAAAAGACGAAATGAAGAATACAGTTACATGTCTTTTAAAAAAAACAAAAAAAAAACAAACAAATGTGGTTTTCTTCCATTATTATGCACCACACAAAATACAAATTTGACTTTTTTAACATGGATGTAAAGTATGGCCTTCACTGAACTCGGATTATACCGATATATTACAGTTTCTCATTGTTGTGGAAAATTCATTTACATCCCGCACTTGACGAAAAAAGCTTGGACATGAGATCAATATATTCATCACAAATTTACGTGTTTGGTAGGAAATTATCAACTACATGTATAAACAGACCTTGATTTCGACCTGTGGAGGTCAGAGTGGATAAGGGAGGGGGTATCATCCCATGTGGTTAGGCCAATGATTAAACACACACACTGAATTTTAAGATAACAGATGATAAAGAGCATGACAAATGAGCCTTGATGAGGATTCCAACGTACCAGTGTCTAACACAGCCACAGTCCAAGCCCCCTTGGAATCAGTGCACTGACAACAAAAAGCAGATTTTCTGAGTAAATGAACAATGTTCACTGTTCTGTTTGCACAGCAGACTGAAACTCAGATATGAAATCAGAAAACGAGGCGATTCCACAGGTACCAATTGGCATGTTACTAACAAACACTGTTCCTCAACTGCACGCACACACAATTATTGCCATTCTGGTCAATACAGAAATTTTTCTGAAGTCAAAGTCCGTGGTAAAAGCAACCCAAAACCACAGTTTCAATCACTGCACCTATGACTCCTGGGCAGATCTACATCATGGTACATGTAAACATATACATGTACATGGGGCTCCTTGTTCTGCCTGTAAGTGTAGGCCTACATGAGTACTTGTTCACAGTAATATTAATAACCTTCTGAACCACTGAAGTAATTCTCTGCATTATATTCACTTCTGAGAATTTGAGAACTTTTCTGACTTTCTATGCGCAATTTTGATTGGGCCTATGCCTAGTTCTGCCGGTTGGGCAAATAATAATAGCTTGAACCTGCAATGGCTGTACACGATGTACATGTATATGTTTTGATAATGCCCCACACACCACACTGTACTGTCTCACTGATTTAATTATTAAAACCAATCAGGGTACCTGTCTTTGAGAACCAGACATGAACTGATCCGAGGACACAGACCATGTTCAGGATTGAGCAAAGTTGAGAACATACTGGTAGGCCTATATCATTTATTTAGTATGGCACTGTATGAAGGTTAGCATGACTTGACATATAAAGGTCCAAGCATTGCAGGTAACACCAAGATTTCTAGTCAATTTCAGTCCGAGCCCAGAAACAGCCCAGAACAGAGGATCGGGGAAGACATGCACGTCCTACACTACAGACTTTACAGTTAACTTAATGAATATGATGATGAGATGATGAAACGACCTTATTAAGAACAAGGCCTTAAATTTCACATTATTCAACTGCAGTCTGTGGGCTGAAATGAAATAATTTGTTGGAATTCCATTTCACATCGACAGGAGGCCTGCTCAGTAGTGCATGGTGCGGCACTGTATACAGAACACAATTCAGCGACACCGCGCCCATCGTCGAGTCTCCCATCATCGCTGAGTACGCACGTTGACAACACGTGGAGAAGAGCCAGGCACAAACCGGCTTCAGTTTACACTGAAAATTCACACCACCTACAAAATTGTCCCACCACAGGAAGAAAAACGGGCGACAAAACGGCAAAATCTCAAGCCTGTAAGAAGATTCGTCCTTTACTTACCCTTATTTCGCCAAATTCTGAGCCGTTTTTGTTGTCAGACACACAAATTCCCGTCGATACGATAATTCTCGCATGTGTAATGTTATGCAGGTACGTAGTTTGTTGTCATTTCTCGTGTGACCAATCACGTGGCAGCGAGTTAACGTGGGTGTCTCCAGTACATCTCCGTGACGTCTGTCGCGCCACGCTCGGCTACTTATTGAATTTGGAGTCCGGCCAAGTTCATTCATACCGCTTTCCCGCCAGTCGCGTCACACTGCTATTCTAAGGAAATTATTAACAGGATTTTGAGTGCAGTTTTCCTGAAATTAATTATGCTTTCTCTACTTTTGTAGTGAATCATAAAACATCACCAATGCGCTCCCTTTTGCATGTCAAAAATGTATCAATACCTCTGTGTTTGAAGATTTCGTTCATTATAAAATTTCATTCTGTGTTATTTCGATCACGAGATAATTTAATTAAATCCGTGCAGGCCAATTAAGGCATTCCATACTTCCCACAGGGCGAAAAGGAATACTAAAAAAGGAAAAGACCTTACTTTTCATTTTGAGAAACCCACAAGATAAAGGACAAAATGTAAATCCCAATTTGTGCCTTTGCCGGTTATTGTTTCCTGATCAGCTGACTGTATTTGCTGAGATTTGTTGTTTATGTTTCCCAAATGTACAGTTCTCCAAATTTTTTGATAAGAATATGAAGTGAAATTCAAGGAAACCAAAGTCAAATTAAATATAAAAGAATAACAATCACACGAAACCGTGATACGGCACCTAGAAACAGAAGTTGGGAAAATGAAGTTTGCGTACAACGGGCATTTTTTTCGCGGGCTGTGGTTGGTAATACTGTGCACGACCACCGACCGCGAAGTTTGTGGCTCGCCAGTGGTAATGCTTTACTGCGTGTTGTTGTTTTGTTTTAATGGTGCTTTCAGCAACTCAGGCTATTTGCACCCCCCATAACTATACGTTTATTGATACACTTTATTAACCACCATCACATTACAGAGTTAGGAAGAAGGTCCAGTTTTAGAGGCAGGAGGAAACCGGCGGAGTACCCAGACTGAGAAAACCTGCGAGAGCGAGTATGGACCGGGAACCAAAATGCACTAAAAAGCCTTGGCCAAGCCGGGATTCGAACCTTTGCCGCGTGCAAAGGTGCCGGCGTTTTAGGATAAAAACATGGCCTTGATACAATCACGGTATTTATCTTCTCACTAAATATCACTGATAACGTGTCTTTTGGCGATACACTTCAAATCATTGGTTATCTTGATCAATTTTGGATGAACTAATGAAAAGTAAGCCCTCTAGTGAGAATATTTTCAGCAGTGAGAAAGAAACAGGTTAAGTATCAGATTGATAACTGCCACATGCCGTGAGCGAACTCGTGCATTTGGCAGAAATTTACCCACAATGCTGTATGTGTCGTTAGATGTGACCCCATATGACGTATTTCTTTCACTAAAATCTGTGCAAGGCCATCAGCCCCCCCCCCGCCTAGCGCCGTGTTTGGGCGGTTGGCGACGAGCGAACGGGCATTTTGAGCATTCACAATGAAAGAGCGCCCCCTCAATAAATTCCCCTTTTAGTCGTCCTCAGGTCATTCGGGTGGTATAAATGTACATGAACATCAGTGCATCGTAGGACACCAAAGACAAGGAATGAACAAACGAGGGCGCACCACAGATTCTTGAGTTTTTTTCAAGTTGAAGACCCACGTGTCATTAAAGCTTATTTTTCATCATTCATTTTCTTTTTAATATTTGGCATATTAAACCCAGGTTCAATCAATGCCTTTTGGAGATGCCAAAGATCCATGGGCTTGAATCCCTCAAGGATGGAGGTACATATCCCCGGACCTTCCCACGGGGGGATGGGCTATTGAATCATCCCCACCGATCGTGATGAGAAAACATAGAGGTGTATCGCAAAGAATTTTTCAGACTTCTCAACAAACCAACTATATCAACTGACATTCATAAAGGGAGAACAATTTCTAAAAAGCCACAAGTGCGCCGTTTGGTGTCAGCGGGAGTGTGATACATAATCAGATATACATCTGCATCATGAACATCACTGCTAGTATCACATTTCAGCACACCCCCCCGGTTTTCAAATTTTCATGGCCGTGCAAGTCATTCCCCCACCTCATTTCCCATCCCCGATTCACCTAGGGATCGCGGTACTTAATGACAGCCCCTAAACAGTCGTGAATCCCACTTTTAATTGATTTGAAAAATTAATGTCGACACTCCGTTGCAGAATAAAGCCCATTGGAGGGCCCCATTTTTGCCTGTAACATAAGCTGGTAGACCTCGTTACTTCCACCCTTTTTGTTCACAAATTCTCTAACTTTTCCACGGACTACACAATTCTCTTCCTGATAACTTGAACAGCATGCAAATTGCAGTTTAGTCCACGCAGGCAGTTTCTGGGGTCCGTTTACCGCAACTACAACTTTAAAACGAAACCCAATTACAATGGATGCATGGAAAGCATGAAAGGACCTCAGTGGCTGCGGGTGCAAGTGTGGGGCGTGGCAGAATACTTATTTTGACCGCATTTACGCCGTATTTGGTATACATACATGTGGGACAACATTTTTGTGGGTGCAAGCGGTTTTTCAGTGGATGCATTTGCACCCATGTGACACCATGTAGCGACGCCACTGAAGAAAGAAAAGAATATTATGTGTGGCTGCATTCGTATAGGGGCCTATTGTGGCTTTGCGTGATAGCCATCTTTCAGAGCAATACTTTTGTATTATATGGAAGTCTGAAAAATTCACAGGCCTGGCACGGAAGAACCGGTAGAGCGAAGAGTGTGACTACTGTATGTGAAATGCAATTATCAGCGGTACTATTCTTTGAAAAGGGAGTATTTTTTAGGAGAAAGAGCAGTTTAATTGAAGCAGCTAAATTCAATGAAAAAAAAGGCAGAGAAAACACTACAACCCCCGTTTTCCAGTCATTCAACGTCTTTGATGGCTGAGTTTAAACTAAAATCCACTGTGCGTCGAGTTGCAGGCATTAGATGGTCGGCGCTCGAGTGTCAGAGTTTGTCGACGCACGAGTCGACCAAACTGGTCGGTGCACGAGTTGGCCTGTTCCCGACTAAAACCCCTTAGCCTAATCAAACTACGGAGCCTGAAAATAAAATGTCACGAAGCGAGCTTCAGGAACCCTCGCGCGGTGCGAGTAGGCTTATATGGATTTGCACTGGGCCTTCCTATCACGTTCGATAACTTTTCGAAAAAGTATTCCCAATTGAAACCACCCCAAGAAATACTTATGCTGAAAGTTTACCTTTGTAATCCTCAAGTAATATTATTTTGGAAAATTCACCTGGGGATGGGTAAAAGAACGATTTTCATTTTGGGTAAAAACGAATTCTATTAACGACCTTTACTTCCATCAATATCCAAGGTCTCCACAATGCGCGAAATCTGTTGACCAAATGCCCGTTTGGATAGGGTCGACAGATTTCGCGCGTTGTGATTGGCCAACGCGTTCAAGGCAAACTCTTGGAGGTGCACTATAGTGAAACTCCCGTCCCGTATTGCAATGAGGGGTCAGTTTTGGCAGGATTTTTCTCTTTCAGGTCAGGGTCAGGTAATTTGTCAGTTTCTATGAATTAATATGCTAGCAAATCTTTCACAAAGGCCTGTTTCGGAGGTGATTTTTTTCAAGATGCAAACAAACGAAAAAATTGTAAATCTGAACTGTTTGGACGTTTCCTATCCGAGTTTCCAGAAGCCTGCGATCACACGGGTCAATGTTAGGCCTTATGGCGGCACCACTATAGATGGCGCTATTTGAAGTGGGTCAATTTTACCAGGACCACACCGCCTTGAGCAGAAGTTCCCCCTCATCGGTTGAAAAGAGCCAGGTTGGCCGAGAGTGTTATTTTGCTGGTGGCGATACAACAGTAACGCGTGCATTTCACAGTTGTTTGTGTGAACCAGCGAAGTGAAGTGCGTACCAAAGGATGCACCCACGCAAAAACGCCCAAAAATATGTCCGCCAAGCTCATTAATAAAAATTATACATTCAAAGTATTCTATATTAGAGAGTCCCGAAAGCCATGAAATTGAGGAATTGGAGAAATATGGCACTGGAGCTGTGGACTGGACTTTGGGCTTCCAATTCTGAGCAATTTGGGTGCAATCAGGTCCGAGAGTGGCACTTATTTGGCCGTTTTGCAGAGGGATGGTTTTTCAAAATGGCTACTTTTCTGGGCAGGGACATTTTCTTGATTTTACGGGTGTTCTGCTT